GAATATAGGGCGGGGGCCTCCGTGGCCGGGGCCTCGACGGGGCATGGGGCCCACGGCTCGCCGGGGCCGTTCGGTGGGAGGCCCGGGCGGCTCCGAAACGCGCCAAGATCCCCTCTAGACGTGCCCAGCGTGGTCCACGACGGCAGCCACTCGTCGACAGACCGCCCCACGACGCCCAAACGGTTCCCAAGAGGCCCACCCACAGGGCTCCAAGAACCCCAAATCAGTGATTGCCTCCAGGAAACGTGCATTTTTCAACACATGCGATTTTTCGGCTTTCGCGGCGTCGACGACGGCCCCATAGGTCACGAATGTAGCCCCAAGACGGCCCCAGAGGCTCCCAAGAGGCCCCGAAGACGGCCCGATGGGGGCGCCAAGACGGCCTAAAAGGCGCCCAAGAGGGCCCAGGCGAGCCACAAGGCGGCCCCACGAGGGGCCCAGGGGGGGGACAACGAACCGACAATTCCGGGATTCCGCCCGAATGATCAAGTCCCAGGAGGCCCCACGAGACCCCCAAAAAATCCCAAGAGGCCAAGGGGCCCCAAGAGGCCGACAAAACCGGCCCCGAGAGGTTTCGAAACAGCTTCCAAGAGGCAGGATGGGCCGAAGGCCCCTAGATAATTTGAGCTGCTTGCAGGGGTGCACGGCGTGCTGGACGATTCAGGTTTTGGTTTTGGTTCTTTTTCTAAAAGAACTAACTCCCCAGTGGGCTTCGGCCCGTCCCGCCGGCCACCCGTAATTTTCCCAAAATCCGTCTGTCAATGCTTTTGTTGCCCCAACTTGGCCCAAGATGGCCTCCAAGACGGCCAAGATGGCCCAAGATGGCCTCCAAGATGCCTCCAAGACGGCCAAGATGGCCTCCAAGACGGGTAAGATGGCTCCAAGATGCCTCCAAGACGGCCCAAGATGCCCTCCAAGACGGCCAAGATGGCCCCAAGATGCCTCCAAGATGGCCCAAGAGGCCTCCAAGACGTTCTCCAGGAGAGCCCGAAGAGGCCAAAATCATTGGTTTTCCTTAGGTTTTTGAAGGTTTTTTGCGTTTTCTTCTTTTCGGCCTTCCGACGGCCCAAGAGGCCCCCAAGATCGCCCAAGAGGCCTCCAAGAAGGCCCTATGACGGCCCAAGGGCCCCCCAAGACGGCCCCAAGAGCGCCCCAAGACGGCCCAAGAGGCCTCCAAGACGCCCAACATGGCCTCCAAGACGGCCCTGAAGCGCCCCAAGAGGGCCCCAAGACGGCCCAGAGAGGCCCCCAAGACGGCTCCAGACGGCGTCAGACGGACCAGGAACGCCCTAAGACGGCCAAAGAGACCCCCAGGAAGCCCCCAAAGGCCCCCAAGAGGCCCAAGGAGGCCCCCAAGATGCCTCCAAGAGGCCTCGAAGAGGCCCCCAAGAAGCCCCCAACAGACCCCAAGGGTGCCCCAAGAGACTCCTAACAACCCTCATCCTCCTACTCTATTTCTTCCTCTTCCTCTTCCTGTTCATAATCATTCTCTCCCATGTGTTCCCCGAAAGCTTTCCAAACCGACTCGGGGAACTCATGGTCCGATAGCTTGGCCAAGCTCTAGTCCAACTTTCGGCCACATCGGCGTTTCCAAAAAGGCAGGGGGCGGCGGTGATTCGCCGTAGGCGTCTTCGATAATTTGAGCGGCCAGGGGGAGGCCCCAGAGGGACCAGAAGGGGGCCGTCGGATGACGACACTTGTAATACCACCTGACTGTACCATCTTCCTGCTGTTCTTCCCCTTGTTGCCTGCTCCTCCTCGTCCACTTCGGTCTCTCACAGGTTTCCCGCCCAGTTGTTCTAAAGGTACGCGATAATCGGTGGCCGACGACGACGACGACGGAACGGCCCAACATGGGCGACGACGACGACGGAACGCCCCAAGCAGGCCCCCCCAAGACATTCCCACGATTCATGTTCCAACCAGTTCTTGCGGGAACATGATTCTTGGTATCCCAACATGGTTCCTCAAGAGGCGACGACGACAACGGACCGGCCCAAGCAGCCCCCAAAGACATTCCCAAAGATCATGTACCCAGAATTCCTTATGGGAGGATGATTCATCAGGCCCCAGGCATGGCCGACGCCAATGACGCAGCGCCATCAGCAGCCCTCCAAGATTGCAGTACGCCCAGAAATCATGTTCCTAAAAGGCCTGCCAGGAACATGATTCATCAGGCCCCCAACGTGGCCCCCAAGAAGCTATGACGAAGACGGAACGCCCCACGCAGCCCTCCAAGACTTCCAACATTCATTTTGCCAACAAGCCTTCCGGGGACATCATTCCTTGCGCCTTCAAAGGCCTCCCCAAGAGGCGGCGACAACGACGGAACGCCCCAAGCAGGCCCCCAATACACTCCCAAAAATCATGTCCCCAGAAGTCTTGCCGGGAGCATGATTCATCAGGCCCCTTAACATGGGCGACGACGACGACGGAACGCCGCAAGCAGCCTCCAAGACATTCCCACCATTCAGGTTCCGAAATGGGCTTCTGGGATTTGGATTCATGAGGCCCTCCCTACGGGCCACGACGACGACGGAACGTTTTCGGCCATTCTCAGGCTGCACAGTCCCTCATTGGTCTTCTGGAGCGAACAAACAGCACAGGATGATAAAGCCGGATAGGGATGATCCCGGGGAAGAGGTTCACACATCCAGGGCCGCCGTTGGGAACACCATCGCGATGTCGGGGGTGGTGGGGCGAGGATAGGGAAAGCGGCGGAGGTTATTCAGTATCGGCTAACCGACCCCAACCCCCACTGAGCCTCCTACCGACCTACCCTTTCCCCCGCTGCCGAGGTAAAGATGTCCCCCTGAAACCCGAGGGAGACGGCATACGTCCCACCGTGTGGGGGGGTAAATCGCTCAGTGGGACGAGGGCCACGCCAGTGGGGATAGGGGTCGGTTAAACGATATCCAGTTATGCGATCAGCTGCGCGCAGTTGATCTTAGCGGCCCGACGGGCGGCTGAGAAAGTTTCTCGGTCACCTTGCTCTGTCTGGTTTCCCAGATCGGCCCTACCAGGAGTCGGGGGGGGGGGAGGGGAGTCCCCCTGGTTTTGATCGACGGCGCCGAGTGTTTTGGGGGGGAGTGGGGCCACCCCCAGGTTTGAAACGCGCCGCCGAATGTTCCCAAGGCAAGCGCCCGCGAAACGCGTTCTCTCGCACGAGATATTCTCCAATGCTGCTCCGACAGTAGAAGACGCAAACCGCAATCTGGGCGCCAACGGAGACCATGCAACATCCCTTAGGAGTGCTATAACAAGCAAGCCGCTCGAGACATTCTCAGAATCTGCTCTGAGCGCACACGAGTCCGGCCACCAAAACAGGCAAACCGCTCGAGGCATTCTCGCAATCTGGCTCCCCTGGGGAGCGAAAATGAGCGCCTCGCTCGAGAGATCCTCCAAATCTGCCCCGAAAGCGGAGGATGTTGAGCATGCAAACAGGCAAACCGTTCGAGACATCCCCGCCATTTTGGCGCGAACGGAGGCCGTGCAATACCCCTGGCGCCCCCCCTTAGGAGGCGCCGCGCACGAGACATCCTCCAAATCTGCTCCGAAAGCGGAGGATGTTGTGCATGCAAACAGGCAAACCGCTCGAGACATCCCCGCAATTTTGGCGCGAGCGAAGTCCGTGCAATACCCCTTGGCGCCCCCCCTCAGGAGTGCTACAACCAGCAAGCCGCTCGAGACATCGTCATCATCATCATCATCATCATCATCATCATCATCATCATCATCATCATCATCATCATCATCATCATACTCATCCATCATTCACCATCACCATCATACTCACATCATACTCTCACCATACCATGGCCATCATCATGACAATACTCATCATTGTCTAGCGCAGGGAGGGAGGAGGGGAGGGGAGGCGAGGAAGTCCGGCGCAGTCACAAGAACCCATCCTTCGGAGATGGGGAATATTAACGACGGCGTCAGATATTGATGAAGAGGATTATGAGGATGAGCTATGTGAGGATGTGTGAGGGCTTCTTTGGCGGACCCTGGCATCGTGGGATCGTGAACAACAAATCACGACGGGAGGTGTTCATCAATGTTCAGCCTCGGGGGGGGGCCCTGCCAGGCACTGGGGACGTCAACGAAACGGCGCGGGATGAGAAGGCGGGTCGCGGCAACGGGCCAGACTTTTGGGGAGTTTCGTTCTGGGCGGGCCCAGGACGAGGATACATCGTTTCCCATAACTTTCAAGTGTTTTGGATCGCTTTGGATCGGCCGCAGCTCCCGATAGGTCCTCTAGGAACATTTGGTTTCAGGGATTCCCGGTTTGTCCTGGCTCGATGTTGTCCAAGTCTTGGCTTCTTCCCTGAGGTCCGAGATTCCCCCCCAAAGTTGCAGCGTCGTGAAAATCACAACTGCAGCTCCAGACCCCATTTTTGCGCGGCGTTTCTCGAGCCAGATCGATTTGTGATGGTTTGGGAGGACCGGCATGATTAGGGCGAAATCGCCCGATGTCTAAAAAAACGATGCCACCCTGGCTTCCACCTTCTACACCTTTTGACAAGCAGGTGGCCGATTTAGTGCTCTTCTCTGGGACATCAACCGAAACTTTCGGATCTGCGCTGGACCCCCGCCCTGGCGCGCGGCGCGCGCCAGGAGCGGTGCCTGAGGCGTCGCCAGCTGGGGGGGCTGGGGGGCAAGGGAGGGGGGGGGGGGGGGCCCAGCGAGTAGATCGCCAACTCAGCCACCTACTGTTCGGGAGGCGCGGCAGGTGGAGCAGGGCTGGGCCCAGACACGCTGCTTCTTGCTGGACGCCGGCTTGTGTCTTGTCCTGCGCTCCGGCAGGGGGAGGTGCAGGACAGCGGGCAGCAGAGCAGAACGAGAGAGACACGACGGACACAAGGAACGAACAAGAAACTTTTAGGGCCAGCCCCGAGGCGGAGAGCGGGGGCAGGAGAGCCGCGCGGCCTGCCTGCCTGCTCCCCCCGCCGGCGAGGCTCCCCTGCGCCCCCCCCCCCCCCCGCGGCCCGCGCGAGGCCTCCGCGGGCGCGCGCTCCGCCGAGCCGCGCAGGTCCGTGAAGTTCGAGGCGCGCGGCGTCTCTGCCCGCCTCCTGCCAAGGGGCCCAGGGACATACGCACGCACGCACGCACGCACGCACGCACCCACGCACGCACGCACGCACGCACGCACGCACGCACGCACGCACGCACGCAGGCACACACACACAACACACACAACACACACACACACGCACACACACACACGCACTCACGCACACACGCACACACAAACACACACGCACACACAACCACACACACACACACACACACACACACACACACGCACGCGCACGCACGCACGCACGCACGCACGCACGCACGCACGCACACACACACACACACACACACGCACACACACACTCACACACATACACACATACCCACACACACAAATGCACACACACACACACACACACACGCACGCACGCACGCACGCACGCACACACACATACACACACACACACACACACACACACACACACGCACACACGCACTCACGCACACGCACACGCACACGCACACGCACACACGCACACACGCACACACGCACACACGCACACACGCACACATACGCACAAGTCCTGGGACTCCCCTCTGTTTCTCCGTAGTTGCTGGATGTTCGTCGTCTCCCCCGCTTCCCATATTTTCCCATATGTTCCTGGGCGGGAGCATTACTGCCCAGACTTATGATTTACCAACCTACTTTGGCCTTGATCGCCAGAAAGAGTTTATCGAGCAGCAGGAAGGTACCGAAACTGGAGGGTTTGTTCACGCGTCGGGCCCTGGGAGGCGATGCTCGCTTGACGCTGTTTCGTTACTTTTCCGAGGGCTCGAAATTATTTCTGGGATGTAGTGCCCAAGTACGATGTGAGCTACCTATACGCAGACATGTCCGCGTCGCGGAAAAAAAAACACTACGCTATTTCTTCTGCCGTGTTCGGCCTCTAGGGGCCCTTGGCGGGCCCTGGTTCCATCAAATAACGATTCGGGATGAAATTAACGACCTTGAGGAACAGGCCGGGGCTTCCAGGAACCCTTTTCCTGAAAACATCAAGACGTCGAGCGTCTGGGTATGAAACTATACATCCAGATCTCCGACGGTTTGATTATTTCAATCCCGGCGCTTTCGTCCATTTCGGGGATCGTTCTCACCGGCCTTGGGGCCATCGAACATCAGCCATGGACCATCGGGAGGGGTCGGGACGTCTGGAGCCGTGGTTTGCAGAACTCGTGTCCGAGGACGTTTGGGTTCGCAACCGCCACCGCGCACAGCATGGTGGATGCTCTTCGCGGCAGGCTTGTGAGCGTGAGGCATTCAACAGAACATTTGCATCCTGTGTGTCGGGCGAATGGGTCCAAATCATTGATTTCCCGTAGTTGTCTGTGTTTCAAAAAGGCCTTGCCCTTGCGACGGCCCAAGCAGGCTCAAGAGGCCTCCGAAGTTGCCCCGAGACCGTCCAAGAGGCTTTCCAGGACGGCCCAAGATGGGAGAAGGAGGGAGAAGGGGGGAGAAGGCTGGAGTAGGAGGAGTAGGAGGAGGAGGAGGAGGAGGAGGAGGAGGGAGAAGGAGGGAGACGGAAGGAAAAGGAGGGAGAAGGAGGGAGGAGGCTGAGGAGCAGGGAGAAGGAGGGACGAGGAGGGAGGAAGAGGAGGAGGAGGAGGCGGAGGAGGAAGCAGGAGGGACAAGGAGGGAGAAGGAGGGAGGAGGAGGGGGAGGAGGGGGAGGAGGAGGGTGAGGGTGAGGGCCACCGAGAGCGCGTCCGATCCGAACACGCCTCAGGAACAGATGGGACCCTGAGGGCCGCAACGCGGCGGAAATATTATGAACTGGGAGGGCAGGCGGGGGCCAGGGAAAACCGACGCCACAAAACCGCTCCCAGGAGGGCGAGACACGTTACGTCTGCGCCTTGCCCTCGGGGCGCTTGGGGCGCCCTGGTCGGCCGTGGAAGATCTTGTCGATCAACCCCAGCTGATTAGCCCTCGTGCTCGGATTCTCTGAGAGCCCAGCACAGGGACGACGGAGCTTCCGAACGCTCCGTGACGTCTCGAGGGTCGTCGTGCCCGCACACCTGCGGCAGCAGTAGACTGAATTCACACAAAAAACGTCATGGCCCAATGCCGCAAATTCAGCAATGAACTCGTTCGACCCCGAACTGTTTGAAACCTCGCCTACGGCAGGCTCCTGGGGAGGGTCCGTGGGCCCAGGAAGGGGACCCTCCGAGGCCGCTGAGGGCCCTTCCCCAAGAAACTCCGCGACGATCACCTGCGACGGGGCGACGCGGGGGTCCGACACTTTGACCCAGACCTCCACCGAATTCTTAAACCATTCCGCACAGGCTACTCTCTGGAGGCTAGAGGGCTCACATCTCCTTCCCGACCCCGTCCTAAGCCACGCTAGGGTCGAGTCCGATCGCGCCGATCTCCCGCAACTCCTGCACCTGTGCTCATTGAGCCTCTTGCACCACCAAAGCTCATGGTCAGAACCCCGTCCGAATACGACTGGCTGCCCCAGGATCTCACGAGCCTCAGGATCCTGGACAGGTGGTGGGGGGCCTCGGCCCCAGCTCTCCGAGACGATAACCCGTAAGCACGCCCAAGACACAAACTGCAACGTGGCCTTATGGACCTTCAGGGCCTCCGAGAGCGACTGGGAAACCGTGTTGGCGATCATGTGGTGCGCCGCGCCCGCCTTGGCGAAATAGTCAGCCCAGGCATTGCCGAGCCAGTTCTCCACCTCTTCAGGATTCTCCAGCACACTGTCGATGTCACGGTGTGCAGGAGTCCACTCAAACCGAACAGGGTACTCAAGTACCCGACGCTGCGCAGCCTGAAAAATCTCTCGCCATATCCTGGCGTGCTTGCCTCGGCCGTGCTGGAGGGATTGGTCCCATGAGTTGCCCTCGGTAACCAGTCCCAGGAGGTCAGACACAAACAGCTCGTGATCTGGGTGAAATTCCAAACCCATTTTGATCGCATATCTCTCCGCACGGCCAACAGTCTGCACACAGAAGGGCAGGGGTCCGTACACAGCACGGACAGGCAAAAGAGTCTTGGGGTCCAGCTGGATGCACGAATACCCACACCGCCTAGTCTCTGGAACGCTGGATGCGAGGCCCGAGCCGTCGGTGTAGCTCTTGGGGCCCCAAGGCCCGTCGGTATCACCCCAAAGAAGAACTTCCGTGCTTATAGTGTCGAGCCCAGGAATACCCACCGGAGGAGCAGGGACCCCGAAGACCAGATAACTGGAGTCCCAAGCCAGACGCCCATCATACCATTCGCCCCCCTTCAGGAGCATGCCTCTGGTTGCCTCCAAGTCCTCTGAGATGTCCAAGAAGTCATCGCGCTGCTTGAGCAGCTCGGGGCAGTCGTAGAGCACGTGGCCCCAAATACCCTGAGACTGGGCCCCACAAGCAGCACACGGCCTGATTGGTACCTTATGGCGGGCATCTTGGAGCTGAGGGATGGGGAGGTTTCCCGACCAGTGCGCTTGGAGGGCCCCGAGTCTACGAACGCACTTGATGCTCTTCACCGAGTTCCGTAAGCCTCGGTGCCATATCTGCTCGCCAGGCTCAGCAGTATAAAAATGCTTGAGCAGCCGCTCGTCCTGCCAACGCTGGATCCCCTGAGTGAGGAAGACCTTCAGGTCGGCGGGGCACATAACTCGCAAATCGAAAACGTTGCCTACATCATCAGCCACCATATGACTAGATACTAGATTCCACCCAATACGTCGTAAGGTCAGCCAACAGGCCCCGATCGGGCCCCGAGTATTTGCCCAAGACAGAGTGCCAATCTTATCTCGAAGAGCCTCCCAAGCCCGATGTAAGCGACTGTCGGGTATTCTCCTGTCCCAGACCCACTCCGCAAACTTGATGACAATGGCTAGAGTGGCGTGGTAAATAGGATCGTAGAAATCGCTCTTGTGGCTAACCAAGTAGGCGGTCACACCAGTATTAAACTTACCTGGCGCGCCGTTCAAGACGGCGGCGAAAAGACGCAACTCTCGCAGTGCAACGTCGCTTACTCCAGCAACTGCAGCACCGTGCGCCACTGATGGGAGGGCGCCTGTGCGCCACAGAGCCGTCGCGACCTTGCCGACAGCAGACTTCAGCATGGAAAACCTCGCCTTCCTCTCTCTGAGCTGTTTGAGACGCTTCTTTTCCATGCCTCGAATCACCTTGGGCCCCGTGAGCTCGTGACCTAGGTTCCTCATGTGGCCTTTGTACGGGATCTTCATGGAGCCCATGTGGCGCTGCACCCCCTTCCAGAACTTCCGAGAACCAACAACAGCCCCAGACTTGGAAGCCTTCAAGATCATGCCGAGGCCCTTGGAGTCCTGGATGAAACCCCTCGCCGCCAGCGCAAGGTACTTGGCCTCCGTGGGGTCCTGGGAGGTATGTTGGAGCCCAATGTCGTCCATGAGCGTCCTCGGGGTCACCGTGGGGGAGACCTTCGAGACCCTCTGCACCGACCTATAGGTAAGCAAGTACAAGACGTACGTAGCGTGAGTACACCCAGCTAGGATCCCCTGGAAGGACCGAAACCCTCTGGATACACTCCCAAAGGCCCTTATACGACGGGGCTGTTGGTAGCTCTGAATGAGGAGCCACAGCAAACGTAGTGGAAACCCCAGAGCCTGGCCTTCTCGGAGCAACGCATGTGGGTCCACCATGTCGTAACACTTGCTCATATCAAGCAAGATCGTACATGTCTGTTCCCCCAACAACTGCGCAACCTCCTGCTGAATATTATGATCAAACGCCGAGTCCGTAGACGTGTGGCCCGCTCTCGTGCCCCACATCTGGTCGCACTGGTAGCCAGCCTGCCACGCTGCCGAAACTGGTCTCCTGAGCTTGCCCCAGATACGCACCAAAGCGTGAGATAGAACAATCAATCGTGTGTCCCCGTCAGGTTTGGGTAAACGAACCATTTCACTGTACACCCGCTCAGGAGGCCAGGACAGCCACTGCTCGAAAACCATAAACATCTTGGCCATGCGCTCGAGCGCTTGGTCCGACAGAGCGTCCAGGCATCTGGGTGAAATTCTGCTCGGCCCAGCTGCCGTCCGCGTCGAAAACCTGCGAATGGCAGCCCGCACTTGCTGGTGGTCGAGCTCGGGCAGAGCAGGCCAGCTCTCGTGGCCTGGCGGCAGCTCAGGGGGCAAAAGGTCGTGATGCCGCCATACTCCCTCCCACACGTCAAGGGTGTGGTTTGCCAGCAGGTACGGCTGCGCGTTCACGTCGAAATTGAGCTGCTCCTGCTTGCCACGCACCTTGGAGGCTGCATGGGCCCGACTGGCCCCACCTAAGAAAGCCTGCTTAGCCCAGCCTCGCCAAGCCTTCTCCGAGGCCCCTCTCGCTGCCTTCAGCACATCATCGGCCTTCCTCGTGATGTTGTCCAGGCCCGAGTCGAAGTCAGCATCGCCGATCATGCCCAGGCCCCGCAGCAGGAAGTCTACGGTGTCCTGATCAAGGTAGTGACATGTCTTCTTGTCGCGGGCGATCCTGCGGCAATATTGGTCCACCTCGTAGAAGGCCTGCAACACCTTGGTGTACTGCAGGGGCGTTAGCTGGCAGACCACTGAAGCCAACTGTAACCGTTGACAAAACCTGCCTAGTCGGTCCCGCTCCGACCTGAGATGCTGACACCATCTCTTGGCCGTCGCCCACGCATAGACCTTGGGCTCGCGGTACGTACGCCGGCGCGGAGGTTCCCATGCCAGCAGCTTCCACTTGAAACGTGGAGGGCCTGACCTGCCGACGAAAGGGGCCGCGTCCTTGTCCACCTTGTCATACCTCCCCGCCAGCTCGAAATCGATACCGTCCAGGACTGTGTCCCACAGCAGGGCCAAATCTGTAACCTTCTTGACTTCCAGAAAAACATGGTCCACTGCCTCCCACGGGTACGGGAACCTGGCGCACCCACATGGCGGAGTAACAGGGAAAGCCCTTGGCTCGTCTGGCACGAGACACCATGCTGGCCTGTCTTTGCCCAGGAGGTCGATACTGACTGGGTAATGCGGGGGTGGTATTGTGCCGCACATATCTTCCACCACTGCAGCCCCTAGCCTAGACGACAGATTTGCACACGCGATGAAGTAATCGATCGTAGACTTGCCGTCCTCCTTGCAGCACGTGGCCGACGCTGGCGCGTAAGACAACCCAGCAAGAGACTCAATCCACCTCCTCGCATTCAGAGCTGCTATGTCAGAATTCCAGTCACCTGCTAAGATCCAATCGAAGCCCGCAGCATTCCAGGTCGCAACTCTCTGCGCTATGGCCCACAGAATGGCGAGGTTCTCACCCGTCGGCCCAATGCTCGTCACCAAGTATGCACTGACCACAATCACCCCCCCAGGGACGCCCCAATTGACAAAGCTGGCAACCACTCTGCCTGGGTAGATGATGGGGTCGCCGTCAGGAGGCTTCGTGATCATCACGTTCGTGGGCACCAGTATGGCGACCCCGCAGTGATTGGCCTGCGGGCCCCTGGCGTTGGTAGCCAGGGCTGGTGCCCACATCCCGTGGAGGCCGAGGTCCTTGGCTCGGTGCTGGAACTCCCCGAGGCGTGACTCCACAATCCTCGTCTCCTGTGCACAGATGATCTTGGCCTTCGCAACGGCCAGGAAGTCGAACAATGGCCCGAAGGAGCCTGCATTCACCGACATAATTGTTCCCGCAATGGCGGGTGAAGAAGATTTTCCCTCCAGCTCGCCCGTCTTAGATATATCGGACCCGACGCTCATGCTACCACGTCCGAGATCCAAATGTTCATCAGCAGGGGCGGAGGGAGATGAAGAGGCTGCACCTGCAGCCTCCTCGCGTTCTGACTGACGTATTTCCAAGGGGTTCGGGCAAATAGTGGGGAAGAGGTCGTCGGCTTCTCGATCTGCGTCAAGAAACTCGAACGGGTCGTACTCCCCGTCCATGTTTGATCCCACCATGGCCCCAGTAGGTCGGTACCCTCTGCCGTCCGATGTCGGGGCAGGCTCACAGCGAGGCGAAGAGGGTGAGTGGTGCGTGCCGCGGGGGCCCCTGGCCTCCCACGGTCGGTACTCTCCGCCCTCAGCTTTCCTCATTGCTGCGTGCCCGCGGTCGACGGACGGTGAGCAGTGCGTACCTCCTGGGGCTGAGACTGTCATCGGTGCACACCCCGTCTGCGAAGCAGAAGCCGCACTCTGCAGGGTACACGATGCACGGGGTTCCACCTCCGCACTCTGCTCGGCTGGCCGAGTGAGCATTGCTGAGGGTAGCCAACTCGTGCCAATACAGTTCTCATCCCAAGAGACATGTGCCGATGTCGTAGACGCAGCCGCCCCCCGTGACGTACACGATGCACGGGGTTCCGCCTCAGGCCTCTGTTCGGCAAGCCGAGTGAGCCTCCCTGAGGGTAGCCGACGCGTGCCAATAACCTCAGACACATCCCAGGAGACACTTGCCCGCGGTGTAGTACTCGCCGCCGACGCCGTAGTCCTTCCTGGAGTCGCGAGTGAAGCTGATACCCCGCTTCGAGGGGACACATAATTGCTTGCCGCCATTGCTGCTGCAGAACTGAGTAACATTCCAATCCCGATGCTGACGAATCTATTGTTTGCGAGCCCTCTTGCACGCTTCAATGTACGTCGACTGGAACCTCTTGAACCTCTCCGTGACTGCCTCGGCGGAGACGTTCTCGTCCGTAGGGATTCCTGCAGCATTGAGCGTGGCCCGCATGTCTTCCTCTCCCATCTCGATGTCTGAAATTTCGTCATCTTCAGGTTCTTGTGCAGGGGGCTCTGGGGCATGGGGCGAGGGTGGCTTTGCCTGCGGCGCCTGCTGCAGCTTGGTGACCGTCTCCGCCATAGCTTGTAGCCCTGCAGTAAGATCAGGCCCCAAGCCCAGAGTACTAGCAACACGCCCCAACTGTTCCACCGACACCGCGAAACCAGGAAGCATCTCATGGAGCGTGGGCGGCCTTTCCTGCTCTGGCGGGCGGGCCTGAGACATGGCTTTGCGCGTATCCTCCTCGAGCCTGACCACCTCAGCAGACGCCTCCACGAGCTTGGCCTCAGCCTTGTCCAAGTGTCCCTGCAGCTCCAGGATCTTGGCTCTCTGCTCCTCGACCGCCCTGCGCACGCTGGACTCGTGGGACCTCGCGTGCTGGAGCTTCGCCGCCAGCGATCGAGCCTGGTCCTCAATCGGGCGTCCATCGAACAGCTCCCGCTCCAAGGTCTCCTTCTCCTTTTTGTAACTGGCCAGCACCGTCGCGTCCCTGTCGGAGGAGAGCAGGCGCATGATGGAGTCCACCTCCTTGATGCGCTTGCGTTTCTCTTCGGCTCCGTCAGGTTGTGACTGCGCCCATGGTGGTGGCGGTGATGGCTCAGCCTTCTCTGCGGTGAGCCTCTTGACCTGTTCTTCGAGCTGTGCACACCGAGCGGCGAGGCCTTTGTCCACCTGGATGAGGAGGAGGAGGAGGAGGAGCATGGACACTAGGGGCCTTCCCTCGTTTGTACTCTTTGAACACCACCGACTTATGGAGCTGACACTGCTTGCAGTACAACGTACCTCCTGCATTGAACCACGGCTTGCCAGTGACAGAGTGGACACACGACTTGCATAGCCACGGTTCGTCAGCAGCAACCCTCCGAGGAGCCATGGCGCTCGCAGGAGACTGGGCCACGGGCTCCTGTGCTGGGAGGCCGTGCCGCAAGCTGCGATGCGTGGGGCGGACCACGCACCGCTCTGCCTGGGGCGAACCAGGCGAAGGATGAAAGCTGGCCGCGGACTAGCGGTATCCACTTTGTTCCCAGGGGGAACCATAACCTTGAGCC